GAGCATGAGGGGGAGGTGGAAGAGGAGGATGATGATGAGGAGGAGGATGAGGCGGAGGAGGATGAGGAGGAGGGGGAGGTGGAGGACCAGCACATGTGATTGAGTTCGGTTCTTCATGCTTACTGTATAACCCCAAGCGCATCGTGCGCTTCCTTGATCATCATATCAAGGCTGATATGGGGTGGCGCAAAACACGGCCTGCTTTTCATGCCTCCCTTGGGGTGGCGGCAGGTCTTAAAGCAGTTCAGGGCATGCTTCTTATTGTTGTTGGTTGGGCACCCAAGGCATTCGCTCTTAAAGGCCTTGGGGTAATATTCACTGTAAGCGCCGCAGGACCAGCATGCCAGAACGCAGCTATCATTCTCGAGGCGATCGAAAACGTACGTGTCGTGGCCGTCTCCCTGCACAGAACGGGCCGGCAAATCAGCAGAATGCCCAGGACAGGCATGGCCATCTCTGCGGGTTCGGGCGGCCTCGGAGCGCGCGCTGACTCTGCAGAGTTCGCACATCCAGAGGCTATCAGATACTAAGACCCACTGGTGGGCGCCGCCTTCATTCTGGTCGCCTTCCACGGGGTCGCCAGCGTCGCCCCCAGGGGCCCCAGGAGGGTCGGAGGTCGGAGGCAGGAGAGGGGGCGAGGGCGGCGGCACCTGCCAGGGGCTTTCGCTCGGGCTTAAACGTGGGCCTTGCTGCCAGGTTTCGGGGCGATCGCAGGCCAGGTTGACCAGGGGGAGGTGGAGGAGACGGAGGATGATGATGATGAGGAGCAGGAGGAGGAACAATAATATCAATACTGGAAATACTGTCCATAAGAACATTGATTTGGCTTCATAACAACAAGAATTGTAATACGAACGCAAATCGCAATACGACATAGTTCATAATAGTAGCACGAATGATTTCACCAATACTTCTAATAATGCGAATCAGACTACTACTCATGATAATAAGACGCATACTACGAACAATGGCACGAGGAACTCTACAAATCAGAAAAATAATCAACATATTACTGGAGAGAAACCCGAATCATAATCTTTTTGGGGTTATGGGGCTATGGGGCTATAGGGCTCTCGGGCTACAGGGCTATAGGGCTACAGGGCTACAGGGTTATAGGGCTGCAGGGCTACAGGTCTATACGGCTCTGGGCTATGGGCTCTAGGGCTATACGGCCATAGGGCTATGAGGCTATGGGGCTAGAATGGCTATAGGGCTATAGGGCTATGGGGCTATAGGGCTATTGGGCTATATGGCTGCAGGGCTACAGGGCTATAGAGCAATAGTGCTGTGGGGCTATGTGGCTATAGGGCTATAACGCTATAGGGCTATAGGGCACCCCGGCACCCGGGCACATGGGCACCCGGGCACCTGGGCATCCGGGCACCCGGCCGTGGAAATCGGCGGCGCACCTCACCCAGGCACCCGGGCACCCAGGCACCCGGGCGTGCCGTCGAAATCGGCGGCGCACCTAACCACAAATATGAATCCGCTAGGAGCCCTACAGAGGCAAGCTTTGATTGGGCAATATTCTGAATCATTGGTTGCCGAACAATATCATTAGGACTATGATACTGGAGAACAGCCCCAATCAGAATTTTTGTTAGGATTATAGGGCTATAGGGCTATATGGCTATAGGACTATACGGCTATAGGACTGTAGGGCTATAGGGCTATATGGCTATAGGACTATAGGGCTGTAGGTAGGGCCATAGGGCTATAGGGCGATAGGGCTAGCTATATGGGCTGTAGGGCTATTGGGCTATAGGGCTATAGAGATATAGGACCATAGATCTATAGGGCTAAAGGGCTATGAGGCTATAGGTCTATAGGGCTATAGGTCTATAGGGCTATAGGGCTATAGGGCTATAAGGTTATAGGGCTATAGGGCTATAGGGCTCTAGGGCTATAGCGCTATAGCGCTATAGGGCTAGATGGCGATTGAGCACCCAGGCACCTGGGCACCGAAATCGGTATCCCACCTCACCCAACCATATGAATCCGCTAGGACCCCTACACAGGCAAGCTCTGATCGGGGAAACACATCATATTGCTACGAATAAGATGAATTGCATATTGAAGAAAAACAGAACATGATCTTGTAAGGCAAGAGTGCTATGGGGCTTTAGGGCTATAGGACCATAGTGCTATAGGTCTATAGGGCTATAGGGGTACAGGGCTATAGGCATATAGAACTATCGGGCTATATGGCTATAGGGCTATAAGGCTATAAGGCTAGAAGGCTAGAAGGCTACAGGGCTATAGGGCTATGAGGACTACAGGGCTATAGGGCGATTGGGCTATAGGGCTATAGAGATATAGGGCTATAGGGCTATATGGCTAAAGGGCTGTAGGGCTATGGGGATATGGGGCTATAGGGCTATAGGGCTATAGATCTATAGGACTATAAGGCTACAGGGCTATAGGGCTATTAGGCTATAGGGCTATAAGGCTATTTGGTCTATAGGGCCACAGGGCTATAAGGCTATAGGGCTCTTCGGAC